CCACCACTGCTCAGGGTCCCTATGATTTTCCCCTCATTCCTGGGGGGAGGTTCTGGGGATGCAGGGGGTGTGGGGTGGGATCCCAAGGGTGTGCCAGTTGCCCCCTGAAGCCCCTGTGTGTGCCGAGAGGGCCATGAACTCTCAGAGGCTGCTGTAAGGGACCCTCAGGTGAGCTCTGGGCCCCCTGACCGCCCTGTGCCCCTCAGGAGTGCTGCGGGAGGTGGGCACTGAGTTCATGGTGGATGCACGGGCACTGGCCCCCACCGGGGGACCCCACGTCCGGGCCCGGGTGCTGAACCCCTCAGGGACCCCCATTGACACCTTCGTCACCGACCTCGGCGATGGCACCTACCGCGTGGAGTACACACCCTTCGAGGAGGGTGAGGGACCCCCACAGCCCCCCCCGGGACTCCCAACACCCCCAGAGACCCCCAGACCCTATTGGAGAGCACAGACATCCCCAGGGGCCTCCCAAACCCCTCGGATGGGAACCTCCAAGGGCCATGAGCTCCCCCAGGGTCTCTGCCCCTACACCAGACTCTAGCTTCCCCCCAGGACCCCAAGTCCTGGCCAGGCATCCTCCATTCCTCATGAAGCACCTTCAGAGAGGGAGGGACCTTCCCATACCATGTCCAAGTGGGGACCCCCTTCAATTCCCGCTGGATCCCCAGAACCAGGAACCTCCAAGACCCCTGAGACACCCCAAATCCCAACTGGGGACTCCCAACCTCCCCCAGAAACCTCATCCAGGGATCCCCAAAACCCCCAAGGCCTTTCAAACCCCACCGAGGGACCCCCACAGCTCCTGACCCCCTGAGAATCCCCACTGCAGAGGCCCCTCGTGCCCCTCCATGGCAGTGTGTGATGTGTCCCTGTTGCAGGGCTGCACCTGGTGGAGGTGACATATGACGACGTGGCGGTCCCCAAGAGCCCGTTCCGTGTGGGGGTGGCCGAGGGCTGCGACCCCACCCGCGTTCGGGCACACGGCCCCGGCCTGGAGGGCGGCGTGGTGGGCACAGCCAACCACTTCACTGTGGAGACCAGGTGGGCACTGACCCCACCTCAACCCAGCCCTGCTCCCCAGAGGCCCAACCCCTGCCCTACAAAGGCCCTGCCCTACAAATGCCCTGCCCAAGCCATGTTCCACCCCATGGACCCCTCATGCTGTCCCTGTTGGGGGGTTTGGGGTGGGCAGGGCAGGTGTGGAGACCAGGTGGGCACCAGCCCTGAGTCCCTCCATTCCCACACCCATGGACTCCTCCCCCAGAGATGTCACCTCCATGCCAGGCCACTATCTCCATTGCCTGTCGTGGAAGTGCCACCACTATCCTCTTGCACCTGTGCCCTTCATGTGCATGTCCCACCTCTATCCCACACCACCAGCCTGCCACCTCCACCCCATGTCACCAGGATATCATCTCTGTCCCCTTGCTATGGAGGTGCCACCTCTGCCAGGGAGGTGGCACGTCCCTCCCCCTGCCATGGAGGCAGCACCTCCATCTCCCCACCATGGCAGTTGTTCCCCCTGGCCCCGCCGTGCCTGTGTCACCTCTCTGAGCAGTGGCATGTCCCCAGGGGCGCGGGCACCGGGGGGCTGGGCCTGGCCATCGAGGGTCCCTCAGAGGCGAAGATGTCCTGCAAGGACAACAAGGACGGGAGCTGCGCTGTGGAGTACGTCCCCTTCACACCTGGTGACTACGACGTCAACATCACCTTCGGCGGCCACCCCATCCCAGGTGCGGGCACACGCGGGGACAGGGCTGGGGGACACGTCCTCACTGTCATCTCTCAGGCACAGGGCTTCACTGTGGTCACCCACCCACGGTGGCCCTGCAGCCAAGCTGTCCCCTGCCTGTGCTGTCCCCATGGCTTTGGTATCCTCGTGGCCACACTGACCGATGGCCGTGTTGTCCTCATGGCTCCCATTGACCCCATGGCCACACCGACCTTATGACACACTGACTCCACAAAGTGTCCATGTGCGTGATTGACACACCAACTGTATGGCCACGCTGTCCCTGTGCCCCTGTTGAGCTCATGGCCATGTTGACCTTGTCCCCACACTGACCCCATCCCCACACTGACCCCACTCTCACACTGACCCCATCCCCACACTGCCCCCATCCCCAGCTGCCCCATGGTGCCTCCCTCATGCCCTGACCCCTCTCTGCACACAGGGAGCCCGTTCCGGGTGCGAGTGCGGGATGCTGTGGA